CAAGCGAGTGCTGAGGAGAGGAGAGGAGAGTGCTCGGTGCAATTGGCTGGTAGCAAGACTCTAGGCGGAGTTCGCGCCACTGTAGCTGCCACTGCCGCACACTGCAGTCGGCCAGATTGGATTCCATCTCTTTCTGTCTCTGTGTGTGCGAACATCGAAGCTACTACTACTACTACTACTCTCCTGAAGCGAGCGAACTCTCTCTTCGTTGTCTTCTTGTCTTCTCCTTCACCACTACTAAAATGCCAGCAAGAGATGCCAGCAGGAGGAGAACAATGATGAGCAGCACTGTGTAGCAGTGCTGCTGATGCCGATGAAAGACTGCATCTCGCATCCTACGCACATCAATTAGCGAGGAATTGAAATGCTTTTGATGTGAATGCAAAAGACGCCAACGAAAAGAGAGAGAGAGAGAGATTGGTTGGCTCCGGAACTTTTTTGGTTGGCAAAGGTTTCGCAGGAGACACAGTTTACTGAACAGTGTACTGTGCTTGTGCCACGTTGAAAATGAAGAGATGAAAAGATGACTGAAAGAGCAGCAGAATTTTTATCTAGTGCAGTTTGGCAGTGTCACCTTCAGTGCACCTAAGTGGCGCCTTGCAGAGAAAATGAGAGCAAGACCATTGGTCGTTGAAGAATAGAAAAGAAACGGGCGATTGGAATCGATGCAGGAGCAGCAGCAGCAGCAGCAACACCACCGAAATTGATGTAGAGTCTCTCTCTCTTTTCCTTGCATCAAACACTAAGTGTGCCGTTCCATTTTCGGTGATGCTCCAGCGAACGGGCAAGTGAGCGAATGAAAGCGTGAAAGCGGTGCCGTTCCCCGCTCGCCGTCGCCGTTGCCGTTCGCCTCGGTGGAGCACCAAATTGGAATGGGCACAAATAGCCAGCGGGCACAGCAGGCGCTCTGGTCGACTGCTCTCTTCCACCAGCAGCAAGGCTGAAGAAGAGGAAGAAATGCAGTGAAAGAGCGCAGAGAGTGCCTGCCTGGCTGGCTCCTCACACACACACACACGCGCGCCCATTGCCAGTCTGGGTGACATCGAGTTCCACAGAGTTCCAGAGAGCGCCGAAGCTGCACCACCAAAGACCTCGCGAGCAAATGAGCTGCTGCTGCTGCTGATGCTGTCTGCCAATTGATGTAGCAGCAGCAGCAGCAGCAGACTAATAGGATTGTGTCCACTCAGCCAACGACAGAGAGAGAGAGAGAGAAGAACCCGAAGAACCCGGTTTCCAGCAGCAGCAGCAATGACTTCATCAGTGCTCTTCCATTATTAACAAGCACTACTTGGGCAGTGAGCGAACAGGCAGGCAAGCGCGTGTCAAACTGGGCGACTCTGCCGCGACTGGTGCCTGGTGCCAAGTGCTAATCAACGTCGTCGTCGTTGTCTTTCCGCAGCAAACCGCTGCTATTTGCCGACCTGCCAAAACGGACAACGGATCTCTCCCGAGTAAGAGAGCGACACTGTAAAGTAAAGTAACACTGTCACACTGTCATGTGTGCGGGGGACTCCAACAGTTTACTGTTAAAGACAGACAGACAGGCAGAGCAAAGGAAAAAGAAGAAGTGATTCTATCAAGCAAGAATTGGGCAGGAGAAATCAATCAAACGTAGAACGTAGAATTGGCAGTGAGTAGAGGAGAGGAGAAGGAGAAGGAGGCGAGTGAAGAGGAAGGCGAATGTGTAGGCTCAGTGAGCACTGGAGCAGTGAAGAAGTGCTCCAGGCGTCAAGCAGTAGCCTGAGCTGCAGCGGCCTGAGCGTCAGTGTCACACGAAAGCCACTGAAACACAGTTGTGTCCGTTGTTTCAGCATTCAGCGGTAGCACACCAGGTCTCTCTCTCTCTGCTCCCAGTAGGGCCAAAAAAGACATGAAAAGGGAAGAAGAAGAAAAAGAAGAAAGCAAAAAGCATTGGCAGAGAGAACTGGGAAGACTGGCAGAGTGGCCAGTGACCAATTAAGCGAACAATGCGCACTGCCGCCAATTAAGTGGCATGCTGAAGAAGAGAGGGAGCAAGAAAATGGAAACACAGTGCAGACCCGTTACACAAATAAGAAAGGCAGACAGAAGACAAAAGACCAAAGTGGCTCTATGTTTGCTCGGATGTATCAACTGTTTGCCGACGCACACAGCAGCACAACGCTTGCCGGGCGCTTGTTTGGGCTGTAACAAGTGAAGCAATGAGAGCAGCAATGCTGAATTGAATGGCTGCAATGAAGAAGAAGAAGAAGAAGAAGCGACTGCGACTGCCACCGCCACCGTTCACGAGTCACTGGCCATCATTGATCGAGTCAAGTAGCAGTGGTGGTGGTGGTGGTGGTGGTGGTGGTGAGACAGGAGTGAGCACACTATTTAATTGGCAAAATGATTTCCCGATGAGGAGGAGGATTCCCGAGATGCGCACCCGTCAGCCTGCCCTCTGATTCAATCTCAACATCAACAACATCATCATCATCGGCGAATTGAACACACACACACACACTACTGAACGAATTGTCAATCAGAGTCAAACACGATGTTTAAGTTTCCCACGAGCGCATCAGAGCGAGTGCTCTGACTCTGGCTGCGTTTGTTCCAAAGTGCTTCCTCATTTTCTCTTCCCTTCAGCAGCCACGAGCCACACCGCCTCAGATTGCCTTTGTTCTTCTCTGTTGAAATACAAATGGCAGGCAGGACAATATTGTCAACCACTAATGGACAGGATTGGACAATGGGATCATCGTCATCGTCGTCATCATCATCATCATTGGCTTATTTAACGGGGAGCATTCATTGACACTGCCGCCGTCGCATTTCGACTTCTTTACCGCAAAGAGCGACAACCTCCACCTCCTCCTCCTCCTCTTTCTTTTAGATTTCTGATTCAACAGATCTTGTTTGTTGAGTCAAATACGTCTGAACGTCAGACGTATTACGGTGATTGTGATGCTGCTGCTGCTGCTTGAGCTTCGAGCCTACATTCATTCGCCGAGTGCAGACCGCCGCCGTCGTCGTTGTCTTGCGTTGAAACACAAAGTCGCAGCGGCAGCAGGCAAAAGCAAACAATACTGTTTTTCCCGGCAGTGTGTGTGTGTGTGTGTTTGCGTGTCTTTGTCTCTGGCATTTGTTTTCAGCAGCAGCAGCTACAGCCTCATTACCCGACTTCAGAGCTTCATTATTCAGATGAAGACATAAATACCCGTCAATAATGCCCGGGCGATAACATATAATGGCGCGAGCTCCGTCGCACCGTCGCCTTTGATCGAGTTGCTGCTGCTACTGCTGCTAGTGCTAAGGTGGTAGCGAAACGCACTCGACGGCCTCTGCACAAATTAGCTCTGTAGCTGAATAGACTGAATGAAAAGCAGCGGTGGCAGCGGCAGCGGACAATGTTCAATGCTCAGTGGACAATAATGGCCGCTGAATGTTTGCCGACACAGGCAGCCAGTCAGGCACTGAATGAATGCGCGCCGATTTGCGGTGAGGACAGGACTTGAGAGCGCATTTGATAGCCTCTTGTTGAGTTGAACAGAAGGAGAACACTGAGTGAGCAAAGATAACAAACACACACCAACAAACACGAAGAGACTGAAGACTGAAGTGGCAAGCAAGTAGACAAGGTAGAGAGGTAGAGCACCAATTGACACAGGTCGTCACATCGGTGGTGGATTACTGGTGCGCTACAGTGCCTCCTCACCAGCCGAAGACAATATAATATCATCATCAGTAGTCTGCAGTTCTCAGTGGCACGCCATTGACACCGCGCACTGGTAGCAGCTATTAATAGAGCACCAGTACCACTCACTGGTACCATTGGCGTTACCACCGATCACCGCACTGCCAAACAATGGCCGCTGAAATGTGAGCCGGGCCTAGCCAGACTGGCTGGCTGGCTGACTGGAACTCAGGGTGCTCAGTGTCACATTGCCTGCTGAGAACATAATTTGATAATTCCACTGGACACACTGGATCGAAGCACGGTGTCACAGAGGTTTCGATCACAAAGAAGAAGAAGAAGAAAGGTCTGCGGTTACACAATGCAAAACACCACCACCACTGGTGTCCCTTTCGAGCAGTGGTGACGAGATTCTCTCTGCATACTGTGAAGCTGAGCGGCAGCAGCAGCGATATAAAGCAAATAATCACCCGAAACAGGGCCACCAAGTGCACGGGGAAGAGGAGGAGGAGGAGGACAGACAATATCAATAATTGATGCAGCAGCAGCCACAGAGAATAGAGAATAGAGACATTTTCTCGGTCAATTGAGGCAGCCAAAGTAAACAAAGCAGGCCTGTGAGCCCAGCTAGTCCCGAATGAGGGATTCCCCTCCCCACTCATCCGCGTGTCTGTCCAAAAAGGGGTCGATCGGTTGCTGTTTGCAGAGGACGACAGCGAAAGCTTCACTTCCTTTCAATCAGCATCATCAGCATCATCAGCATCATCAGCAGCAGTGCATTAATCCTCGTGGTAGCAGTGTATAATAATACGGTAGCGGTCACAATTAGCGAAAAGTTAATAGCCAGTTGAGAGGGCAGACAACTTGAGCTTGGAAATTGAGCCCTGTTGGCCCCATTGCATAGAACATTTGGCTGCTACTAATGTCAATTTGCTGAGCATTGGTTACGAACAGACACTTCAGGCACTTCAGTGTCGCAGCAGCAGCAGCAGCAGCATCATCAAAATAACACTGTGTGCTCCCATTGCCAGTGCAAATGCACAGGACCCGAGGATGGTAATCGTCGTTTTCGTTCAGATCGATTTAGGACGACTTGACCTCTGAAGTGGCCAATTTAGCGAGGCTAACGATGCTACTCTGAAATTGATTTGCGCGCGGCGGCAACGGCCGCCGACGCGCGCCTTGTCGCGTCCTCTGTGGATTGCCCGCGTGAGATCACATGTTTATATTTTCATTTCTTTTGCTTCGAGAATTTCAAGTTGCCGATTTGTTTTCATTTCAAGCTTTTTGGGTAACTTTCATTTCTTTGGAAACAAGTGTTCCAGCCAGCCAGGCCGACGGAAGAATGAGTTCCCCCGCTGAGAAGGCACTTCAGTTGGTTAAATATCTGCCACGTGCTAGTCTGAATAATCTGGTGAAAAATCCGTACATCAAGAGGAAGGTAAACAAACGACGGCGTCGACGGCGGCGGCCGCGGACGAACCACTTTTGACACTTGGCTAACTTCTTTTGTCTTCCCCCCCCCCCTCCTTCTCCTCTTCAGAACTTCTACCAGCGTGGTAAATATCGCGAAGTTGAGGCCATCAATAAGAGCAATCGAGAGCGGCGGCGATTCTGGCCTGTCGGCTATGAGGGCGGCCGGACGCCGTTCTACATGAAAATCCCCATTGAGAACTACTACGCCGACTTCAAGTAAGATTCGAAATTGTTAAGTGTCTCCCATGAATAAAATGATTAATCCTTTAAAATCTCTTTTCAGGCATCGTCGCCAGTATCCACCGCTCAGTTTGGTGAAGCTCCAACTGCTCATTGACAATGGGGCACTCAACCCTGAAGAGCCCATTGATCTGGCTTCCATCTGCAATTCGCACTTCTTCAAAATGGACCCAAAGCTGCACCACTACGGCGTCAACCTGGTGGACGAAGGAATGGACAGCTTCAAGAGCAAGATCAACATTAAAGTCCAGCACGCCTCAGAGCAGGTCATCGCTGCTGTTGAGCGACACGGCGGCAGCATCACCACGGCTTACTTTGACATGAAGAGCGTCATGGCCCTGCACAATCCAGCCAAGTTCTTCGAGAGCGGTAAAGGATTGGCTTTTATGGCCTTTTGATCAAGATGATTAACTTTGATCATTTTTCCCTTCAGGGCAACCCATTCCGAAAAGAGAACTTCCAACCGAAGATGCCTTCGAGTACTACAGCAACCCGAAAAACCGAGGATACCTTGCTGATCCTGCCGAAGTCGAGGTGGAGCGGAAGCTACTGGCGCAAAAGTACGGCTACGAGTTGCCCGAAGTGAAGGAGCCGCTGATGACGATTCGAAAAGACCCACGGCAGTTGTTTTACGGCCTAGAGCCCGGGTGGCTAGTCAATCTGCGCGACAGGGAAATTCTCCGCCCAACCTCGGCAAAGTACATCGAGTATTACCGAAATTAAACAAATGCAAAGCAAATATATTCGAATAGTTGAATTGTACCATTTTTGAGATTAGTTGATGCCAGTAGTGTGAAAAAGTATAAATAAAAAAGTGTATGGCAGAAAAATTCGGCTGACCACCATTTTAGTGGATCTGGTGGGTCATTGTCTCCTCGATGCCCTGCTTGCATTCAGCCGGGTTAGGAGCCAGCTCGTAGTTGGCGATGAGTATAGCGTCGCGATTAGTCTAGAAACACATCAAAACACAGTTTGTACAACCGCTCACTCAAGTCTACGCTCACAAACACTTACCGGCGTGAATTCACCTCGAAGGCCGATGTAGTACACTTTTGAAGTTTCGGCGCCGTAGTTCTTTGGAATATGAATTGTAAGATGAAAGACGCTGGAAAATTTGACTATCCTAAAGGGGAAGGGTTTAGAAAAAGGGCTTGGGAAACATCAAGATCAACAACAGAGCTTACTTGAGAGGGTACTCCAAAGTTCCGGTGCTGTCCTGCATGATCTCAAACTCCTGGTCAGCCTCGGCGACGCAATCGTCAAAGCTCATGTCAGGTCGGTTCTTGTATATTTTGATGTGCTTTGGACAAGTTTCATCCTCGCCGCCAATGATGATAAGGCCTTTCAGCTTGACGTTGCCAGTAAACCTGAAGAAAAAAGTGAAAGCGCGATGAGTTTCACAAGAAAACTTTGGTGTCAACAAAGCGGTCTTACGGAATCTTGAAGAGCAGCTCCTCGTCGCAATCGCTTTCAACAAACTGCAAAACACAATCATCACCATCATTATTCTCCATAACTTCAACAGCTCATTCATTACCTTTTCCATGTCCATGCGTTCTTCCCAAGGCTTGAACACCGTCTTTCCCGAGCCTTCTTCTGCCTCATTGAGACACTCGAGTTTTCCCAGGTCAATCTTCGAAAAGAGGCTGTACAGCACGCCCAGATCTTCGGAATCGTTCAGGGAGCTGTGGCCATTGCACTCATGGTCACAGTGATGCTGTGGCATCTTCGAGCTGGGTCCTATGAGCAAGAGAAATGAGCTTCGGAAAGAAGTCTCCGGCGACTTTTAGTTGTCAACACTTCAGTCGTGCCAATGAGTTTGCAGTCCTACCGGGCGGACGTACTTTATGCGTGGGCTGCTGTGATTCAAAACAACAACTTTTTTTTCTATCAAACGCAAAATCAAAATCTCGCGCTTTATAGAAAATTCAACTAAAAATTGCTTTGACACTTGATCAATTCAAATTCCTGGCTTCTCTGATAAGCCGCCGTACAATCTCAATGGCGACTCGCGTTACTCGCTCTAAATCAAAGTACTTTGCCGACTCCAGAGAGGCAGAAGAGCCGAAAGATGAAGAAGGAGAAGAAGAAGAAGTGGAAGTAAAAGTTAAAGTTCAGCCAGCGGAAAAGCCTGTTTCGACAAAAAAGTCTGCCGCCGTCAAAGTGCCGTCGAAGCCAGCGAAGAAGAAGAAGGACACCGGTAAACAACTGCCAAGCAACTGGCGAACGGTCTACGATAACATCGTCAAGATGCGCGCCGAAACGCCAGCCGCAGTCGACACGATGGGCTGTGACCAGTGCGTGGACGCGGACGGCGACGAGAAGGTGCGCCGCTTTCAGTGCCTGGTCTCCCTGATGCTCTCCAGTCAGACGCGAGATCCGATCACCTTCGCCACCATGGAGCAGCTGAAGAGCCAGGGGCTGAGCGTGCAGTTCATCGAGGACATCGACACGGCGGAGCTGGAGCGGCTGATCAAGTCGGTGAGCTTCTTTCGCCGGAAGGCGCTCTACCTCAAGAGGACGGCGGCCATCCTGCGCGAGCAGCACGGCGGCGACATTCCGCGGACGCTGCCGGGGCTGCTGCGGCTGCCCGGCGTCGGCCCGAAGATGGCCCACCTGGCGATGAAGACCGCCTGGGGCGAGGTGACGGGCATCGCCGTGGACACGCACGTCCACCGCATCAGCAATCGGCTGCGCTGGGCGGACGGTGCGAGGACGCCCGAGCAGACGAGGGCGCAGTTGGAGGGGCGGCTGCCGCGGGAGCTCTGGTGGAACGTCAACCACCTGCTGGTCGGCTTCGGCCAGAGCATCTGCCTGCCGGTGAAGCCGAGGTGCGCCGACTGCCTCAACCGGAACATCTGTCCCGCGTCGACGAGTCGCAGCTCGAAGTACTCATTCTAAGGCATCAGCATCATCAAGTTGTGCCAATTGTGGATTACGATTCTCAGTTTATTGTTCATTACAAACAGTGGGTGTGTGTAAGTATGTACAGCAGAGTACAACTCATCTCATATTAAAAAGGGCTTAAAACTCTTCAAAGGATATAAGAAGTAGAAAAGGGGGCCGGCGGGGCGTAGCACAACGGGGGATAAAACGGGTAGGAAAGCGAGAAACAACAACGAGGTAAGTGGAAGCAGCGGCTATGTGTGTGCTGTGGGCGGTCAAAAAGAAAGGGGATGGGGACCACTAGAGAAAAAAAAGAATTGCGGTGGGCAGAAGATGCACTAACGAGGACTAGAAAAAGGTGTGTGTGTGTGTGTGTGTTCGATAAGGACTACCCCGACGAAGAAGGAGGAGAAGGAGAGGACAACTCGGCGAGAAGAGAGGGGAAACGATGTGTGTGTGTGTGTGTGTGTGTCACAGACAAAGGTTTCAGATCACCGATTCAGAACAAAAGTGGGCGAACTTGAGGGTCTTTAACACTGGGGAATGGGATTCTCCACGATGTGCACCCGATTTCCGGCCAGGTCGACCTCCTCGGTGGAGGAGGAGCCTCCGTCGCCATCGAGTGAGCCGCCCCTCTGACCACCACCACCATTGGCAAGCCGTCCTGAGCGGCGGCGATCGCAGACGGTGAGCGCGTAGCCGATGCCCTGGAGGAAGAGGCGAAAGGCCTCGAAGACCTTGGCGGGCTGCTCCTCGAGGACCATGCCGCAGTCGGAGATCTTCATCCAGGTGGTGGTGAGGGGGTTGCAGCGGCCGTTCATGTTGACGACGTCGTCGACGTGCGGCGAGAAGGCGCCCACCACCAGCAGCGTCGGCATCGACAGGGCCCGGACGGTCTTGTCGCCCCGGTCAATGCCCAGGTCGGTGCGCCGGAGGAAGGCCTCGGTGAACATCGCCAGGTTGCGAATGTTGTGGTTCTTGCCGGAGAAGTACCGCCGGTACATGTCCACCAGGTCGCGGTTGCGCTCCTCGGTGACCAGGCCGAAGTGGTGCCACATCAGGTAGTCCTGGGCGGACTGGGGAAAGGTGTCCGCCACGCCCGGCACGATGCTCCGCATGTAGTAGAGGTTGACCTTCTGCAAAAGCGAATAGAGGGGGAGATTAGATAAGATCAGATTAGATGTGAGACAGCAACAATCAACTCGCTGTGATCTTCGTACCTGGTAGAACCACTCCGTCCAGGAGGCCTGGCCGGCGCAGGGGTTGATCAGAAAGAGCCCGTCCACCATCTCGGGGAACTTTAGCGCGTATCGCGTCAGCACATTGGCGCCGCTGCCAACCTAAGGTAGTGGGTGATGGTGATAAGGAGAGAAAAGAGAAGCGTGAATTTGGGTATTTCCAAGTATTGACGTAAGTTGAGGCATGACGACGGCAGTGTAAGTGTATGTAGGTCAGTAGTACAGTAGAGCCCAATCCACTTACGCCAATGCCGACAAAGGTGACCACGCCGTAGAACTTGAGGACGGCGTCCACCTGCTCGGCCAGCTGGTCCATGCTCGGGTAGATGTAGCCCTCGGGGAGCGGGGCGGCGTTCTCCTCCTGTCCGGGCGCGTGGATGTTCAGCACGGAGAAGGACCGCAGGAGGATCTTCATCTCGAAGAAGTTGAAGAACGCCTGGAAGTTCGAGGCAAAGTTCAGCCCCAGGTCGTGGTAGGTGACGAGGTACGGCTTGCCCGAGTTGGGCGGCGCGCCCGCCTTGATCACGTACACCGGCCCGTGGTCGGTGTCGACGTGTTCGCCCTCAAAGTACTCCTGCTTGCTTAGTGATCGCATCAGTGGCGCTGTGGAGTCGACGTTTCGCAGCTCAATGTCCGACATGGCTGGCGGTGATGAGCTCTTAAATAGGCGGTGGTGGTGGTGATGAGATGAGGTGGTGGTGGTCCACGACAACAACAACAACAGTGATGGTGATGGCAATCAACAGAGAACAGTTGCACTGGGAGCAATTAAACGATGGGAGCTGTAAATAGAGGCGCGGAGAGAGGGAGAAGCGCGGACAGCACCAGACAACACTGACCAGAAGGAGAAGACCAAGTGTGTGTTAGGCAAGGCGAGAGTGGCCAGAAGAGTACTGCTTCAGAGTGTTTGAGTGCGTATGTGTGTGCTTGTGTGTGTTCAGTGAGGCCAGGCGAAGTGAGAAGTGAGCAGCGTGAACTGTGTGCTGTGGAGAGGACTGCTAAGGGAAAGAGATGAGGCGAATCTTTCTTTCTGCTTTCTACGATGTTTCTGCCAGACGCTGCTGCTGCTACTGAGCAGCGCATGTGCTCGCTATTTTATATGGCGCCCACTGGCGCCCAGAGCCAGTGCCAGTGCCAGTGCTTGTGCTGATCGAACACACCGAATGCCTGGACATGCACTACTTCTCCTGCTGCTGCTGCTGCTGCTACCCAGCCCAATTCCATTGGGACACGTGTCCGGGCACAGTGGGCGCTGTTTCGTTCCATTTCATTCCATTCATTGTTCACTGATGTGCATTCATTCCATCGGACTGTGGTGATTCCACATTCCGCGCGCGCGGGAAACTTTGATCTGTTGATCTTGACTGTGTGAGTGTGTGTGTGTTGTTTGCATTGTATGGTGTGCTGCCATTCTACTTCTGTCGAGCTGGCCATTCTCTCTCTCTCTTTTANACTGTGTGAGTGTGTGTGTGTTGTTTGCATTGTATGGTGTGCTGCCATTCTACTTCTGTCGAGCTGGCCATTCTCTCTCTCTCTCTCTCTCTCTCTCTCTCTCTGGTAGTTGAGATTGCCTGATGGCTACCCATTTTCCTTTTATGATCGCAGACAAACACACACAGATTGTGTCCTCACTGGTGATGGTGGTGGTGGGGGTGGTGGTGGTGGTGCACTGGCAAACAGCCGGCAATTACCATGAGAAGAAGAAGAAGAAGTGCACCCATTGCCATTGCCATCACCATCACCACCACCATCAGTAACGACGCCATCCAAGCCAACCGAGCAGAGAAGCTGCAGCAGCTTAATTGCCGAAGTGGTCTTCTAGCCACACGAATCGAATGAGCTGAGTCATTGACATTGGCCACACGTTGCCATATCAGTTCTTGCCAGCAGACATTTTGCTAATTAAACTGGAGGCAACTCGGGGGCTGCTCGAGGCGGAGGTAAATCGCCTATCCTGAGGAGGCTGATGAGGCTGATGTCTAATCTGTCAATTAGAATCTCATCTTTTGTTTGGTACCTTGGTTGGTGTAGTTATTAGGACTCTTTTGAAACAGAGTCATTTAGGTCATTTCAAAAGGGAAAGTTTACCAAAAGAATTTTAGCTAGCACATCGGGAAATGTTCCCGGTCGCAAAGTTAGTTTGGTTTTGGACGGTCTGGCCGAGGGGTTTGAGATCTCGGGAACGGCTGAAGCTACAGAGCTGACACTCCTAGCGTTTACTAAGCTATTTTTTCTGATTCATTTGGCGAAAGAAGTTTGGTCCTAGCTAGTCCCGTTGCCGAGATATCGTCTGACGCCCACTTCTCGAATTTCGGACACTAGTCCATGTCGGCGAGTTGTCCAAAGCCTGGACAACTCACCGAACGGTGCATGTGTGCGAAAAACGCGCTGTTTTTCTGGGTGGAGCTTAGTGCTTCTCCTTGTGTTTGGAACGCTGACTTTGGATCGGGATATCTTCGGTGTTGCTGCGCCGATCAAGCTTTGGTAAACTCTAATCGATCAATTAGAATCTCATCTTTCGTTTGGTATTTTGGTCGGNTGACACTCCTAGCGTTTACTAAGCTATTTTTTCTGATTCATTTGGCGAAAGAAGTTTGGTCCTAGCTAGTCCCGTTGCCGAGATATCGTCTGACGCCCACTTCTCGAATTTCGGACACTAGTCCATGTCGGCGAGTTGTCCAAAGCCTGGACAACTCACCGAACGGTGCATGTGTGCGAAAAACGCGCTGTTTTTCTGGGTGGAGCTTAGTGCTTCTCCTTGTGTTTGGAACGCTGACTTTGGATCGGGATATCTTCGGTGTTGCTGCGCCGATCAAGCTTTGGTAAACTCTAATCGATCAATTAGAATCTCATCTTTCGTTTGGTATTTTGGTCGGTGTAGTTTTACAAAAAATTGGCTAAGAATTCGCTTTGCAAAAGTTTGTTTACAATGATGCATACCCCGACTCTGCTGCTTTTTGTTTCCGCCTCTTCATTGGCTTTTCAGCACAAGCTTTTTTTGTCACGCCGCTGCTGTCGCCATCTATCGGTCCTGGT